TTTTTGCACCTGTGTTCATAAGGGAATTTGGTCTGTAATATTTTTCTTTGTTGAACCTTTACGTGGTTTGGGTATCAGGATAACTATGGCCTTGTAAAATAAATTAGACCATGGTCTTTATGTTTCTCTTTTATGCAATAATTTGAAGAATATTGTCATTATCTCTTCTTTCAAAGTCTGTCCTGGCCCTAAGCTTTTTCTTTTTTTGGCGGGGGGGGGGGGGGAGGACACTTTTAATGACCACTCTATTTCACTAGGGGTTATAGGTCTGCTTAAATTGCTTATCTGATCTTGATTTTACTTTGGTAAGTGCTATGTATCAAGAAAATTATCCAGCTTCCCTTTGTTGTGAGGTTTGGACTTGGCAACTGTGGTGCTAAGCTGTTGGTTCATTCCTCTGGGTACTTGCAACATCTTATTCCATCACCGCCCCAGTCCTACATCAGCTCAGCCACCTGGAGATGTCAAAGCGTTTATGATGGTGCATGGCCAAACTTAAGCTAAGTACCTGAAGCCCTAGCTTCTTCCTCATCAGAAAAGATGGTTCAGTTATGAGGCAACCCTCCAGCAAGGCACTGCAAAAGTGTCTTGATTGGTTTAATAAACATTAAAATAAAGTGCCTTAAAATATCTATTTCTTTTCTGTTTTTCCAATTTAGTGCAGTAGAGGTTTTTAAAGTATGTCCTTATGATTCTTCTCAGGGTCTGTTGTTACAACCCCTTTTATATCTAGTTTTGTTAATTTGGATCTCTGTCTTTTAGTTTATTTGGATAGGCGTTTGTTAATCTTAGTGATTTTCATAAAGAATCAGTTGTGTTTCACTGAGGCTCTGTTTGGGTTTTGTTTGTTTCAATCTTAATTTACTTCAACCTTGTGTTTGATACATACATGTTAAGAATTGTCATGTCGCCGGGTGGTGGTGGTGCATGCCTTTAATCCCAGCACTCGGGAGGCAGAGGCAGTCTCTGTGAGTTAGAGGCCAGCCTGGTCTACAAGAGCTAGTGCCAGGACAGGCTCCAAAGCTACAGAGAAACCCTGTCTCGAAAAACTAAAAAAAAAAAAAAAAAAAAAAAAAAAAAAAAAAAAAAGAATTGTCGTGTCTTCTTAGTGGATTTTTCATTTGATGGGTATGTAGTTTCTGTCCCCATCTCCTTTGATTTGTTTTTGTTTGAAATCTATTTTGTTGGCTATTAAAATGGCTACACCAGCTTGCTTCGGTCCATTTGCTTGTAATATTTTTCCAACCCTTCACCTTGAGGTATGTAAAGAAGTGATCCTTGGACGTGGCAGAAGGATAGATGCTATTTTTGCATTCATTATGTTAGTCTGTATCTTTTTATTGAGATTGAGACCATTGATGTTGAGAAATGTCAATGAGCAGTCATTGTTGATTTCTGTTATTTTGCTGTTGTTGTTGTTGTTGTTGTTGTGATGGGCCTGGGTAGTAGCTGAGTCAGTCACTCCCTCACCCCACCCACCCCCACCCCAACAGCCGTAGAAGGTAAGGGAATGGTCCAGATATCCGGCTTGCGGAGGCTAACCAGGGGAAGGACCTCCTGCTGTGGTGGTTCTGAAGAGGTGGAGCCATCATTCCCTTGGCAAGCAAGGGGCAGGATCAGCTCTCCTGAGATATGGTGCCTGGTGAGGGAAGGGGCCAACTCAGAATGATGCTCCAACATCACTGTGGCCTCAGGCATGCAAAATCCATCTGCAAGGATTTTGGTGGAAACACAGGCCTCGGACATCAACAAAGACCCAAGCTACGATAGGACCATGGACCCAGATATAGCAGCATGGTCCCAGATGTCACCATGGTCTCAGATCTCAGGTGATAACACAGGTCACTCATATCAGTATAGCCCCCGGTGGCAGCACAAGATCTCAGGTGGCAGCCCAGACCACGGACATCCACACTGGTAACTCAGGCCACAGACATCAACAGAGACACCAGCTGCAGTAGGGCTATGGACCCAGTCGTGGCCCTGAGCAGCAGGACCTGACATCACCATGGCCTCACATTGGTGAGGTCTCTAGTTCCACCTCTTTCCACAGTGGACAAACCACTCTGCTTCACTTTCTCTCCAATATCTCCACCACATACTCTGTCTTTCCCATCCCTCCATGACATAGTCACTCACTGTAGAGGTCCCTGCCAAGGGGCCCAAGCCAACACTTGGGTGCCTTCTGGCCATTCCCTTCTAAACTATTTTTGACAAATATTTTTTTTCCTATTAGGATCTTCAAAGTGAAGTTGTTTAAATTTAAATCTAGAAATTATCTGTTCAATTTTGAATTTCGAGACCTGAAATATATTTGTTTGTTTTTTGTTTTTCCAGACAGGGTTTTTTGTGTAACAACCATAGCTGTCCTGGAACTGGTTCTGTAGACCCACAGGGATCCACCTACCTCTGCCTCCCAAGTGCTGCGATTAGTCACTGCCCCACTGAATTGTATTATTTTTTAAGATCTCTTTATCACACATACAGTGTTCTGCATGCAGAAATGCCTGCATGCCAGAAGAATCTCATCAGATCTCATTATAGATAGTTGTGCATCACCATGTGGTAACTGGGAATTGAACTCAGGACCTCTGGAAGAGCATACAGTGCTCTTAACCCCTGAGCCATCTCTCCAGCCCCTTTGAAATGTATTCGTAAAGAGTTTATATCTGTAATGAGAAAAAAAATGTTTAAAAAGCTTTCCAGAATCAGAAAGGATCAGTCTTCTAAAACACTCTTAGATAAAGGTTTGAATCCATCCCACATTTTCCCCTATTCTGGTCTCTCTAAATCTTGATGACTTCAGCAGTCTTCCAGATCACCACTCTGTAGTTCTGAGTACACCTCAGACCTGATAACCTCCTCAAGCTCAGCTTATTTTCTTTCTTTCTTTTTTTTTTTTTTTTTTTTTTTTTTGAAAGGACAGCCTGACTTTAATCAAGTTTCAGAAAGTCTGGTTTCAGCAGATGTACCAGGCAGGTGTAGGGCATTCTAGAAAACACTGAGGTGAGCAAAACAGCCAGCCTGACCTGTCTTTTGAACCGCGGCAAGTTACTTGGTCCAACTGACTTTAGGAATATCACAGTGCTCGGTGAGTGTGTCCAGGTGTCGGTTGAAGGCCTCCACTCTCTGCTTATGGGTTTTGGACGCCTTCTTCAGGATTCTTTCCATTTGCCGTTTCTCCTGCATCTTCTCGAAGGCCGCCTGCGCCGGCGTGCGCTTGTCCAGACAGCACCTCTTCTCCTACTCGCTCTTCTTACTCGTCCCCACGGCCTCCAGCAGCTTGGCCTTGTCTTTGTCCTTTTTCTTCTTCCGTTTTGTCACGCCCAGCTCCGTGACGCCTTTCAGCTTCAGGGGGCCCTTCTGGTCAGCTTATTTTCTTATCCTGCCTCTTATTAAAAAGATAAATGTCATCTGTGCATAAATTTTCAAGTCGGCTAATGTGCACCCACAAGTGTCATCATGACCAGTGTCTCACCTCCTCCTTTTCCTGCTAGTGTCTTTTTCTTAATGCAAATGATTAAATCTACCAGTTGTTCAAGCTTAAGGTGACTGCCCCTGCCCATGGGATCAACTATACTGTGGTGGTATCCAGTTTCAAGACAACCAGCACTGCAGAATTAAGACAGAGGGATACTGCAGACAGGATGGCAGGAGCCTTTGACCTCAGCTTGTAGAGGAAGAGGCAGGAGGATCTCTGGGAAGTCAAGGGCACTCTGGTCTACAGAGTGAGTTCCTAAACAGCCAGGACTACATAGTGACATCTTGTTTCAAAAAAAAAAAAGAAAAGAAAAGAAAAGGAAAAGAAAAAGAAAGAGAAAATAAAAGAAGAAAAAGAAAGGAAGAAAAGACAAAACAAAAAGACACCCAGAGAGATACTGACAATCCTTAGATTTGATCTTCTCAACATCATTATGGAGATTGAGTCTCATGAAGATGGTACGTGTTTCCTCATAACCACTTTACATTAAGACCTTACATTGCTTATTCAAATATTTGTTCTAGTCTTGCCAATTACAAAATCATTTTCTAAGCTGAGCATAGGTGGTGCGTATCTTTAATCCCAACACTCAGGAGGCAAAGGCAGGTGAATCCCTGAGTCCAAGGCCAGCCTGGTCTACAGAGTGAGTTCTAGGACAGCCAGGGCTACAGGAAGAATGTATAGAAAACACAAAAGCCATCAAACAACAACAAAAGCAAAAACAAAATCAGAGAAGACTGAGGTAAAATGAGACTTGTGAATTTCCTTTTCTTTTCATACCATGTGCTTTCCTGAGGCTGGAGCAAGACGTGTCACTCTCCCAACTTTACAATTTTTTAAATTTTCTTAAAGCAACCATATTTCTATAAGACCTGACTCATTTGTAGTGTTTGGATTCTTTTGGTTTTTTCCTTTTTGTTGATGTTGTTGTTGTTTGTTTGTTTGTTTGTTTGTTTTTCAAGACAGGGTTTCGCTGTAGCTTTGGAGCTTGTCCTGGAACTAGCTCTTGAAGATCAGGCTGGCCTCAAACTCACAGAGAACCACCTGCCTCTGCCTCCCGAGTGCTGGATTAAAGGCGTGCGCCACCACCACCTGGCTTGGATTCTGTGGAATTTTGTTTAACTGAAAACACAGTTACTCGTTGTGTTTTCAGTTCCTAAGGGCTAGAAGTTCAGGTAGGCACCCCTGAGCCCAAACTCAGAGTCCACTCCCAAAAGTCTATCAGTCTGGTCTGGTGCCCGTGGTGTTAGAAAGTCTGAGCTTTTAAAAGGAGTTAGAAAAAATGAGTCACTAGTTAAAAGGACTTGCTATTCTTGCTGAGGACTCAAGTTCAATGCAGTTCCCAGCACCCACAACGGGCCGCTCACAATAGCCTGTAACTCCAACTCCTAGGGCTCTGATACCCTATTCTGGATTCCATGTACGTGTGAACACACACAGTGAACACACACATGGTCATACCACACACACATTAAAATATAATTCAAAAACCAATCATTTCTTAAAAATCTGGAGCCCAGTGCTCGCTTCGGCAGCACATATACTAAAATTGGAACGATACAGAGAAGATTAGCATGGCCCAAGGGAAAAAAAAAATCTGGAGCCCGTTAGAGAACCCTGTGTATTCTTGGTGAATTCTGTTCTCCTGCCTCTCCTTCCTCATTGGAAGTCTAGGGTATGGATTCCCTGTGAGTCACATGACGCAATTCTGACACTTTTCTCTCCCTGGTGTCTGTTTCCCTCACATCTTAGCTGTTTCTCACTTTCAGCATTCTCTCTCTGGTAATCATTAACTCTGTAGTCTTACAGTCACAGACAATAGACAGAGACAAAAAGACCTGGATGACTTTTACTCATAATGTGGCCACGGAGAAGCTATAATAACCTCTGAGCTCTAACTTTCTCCTTTGGAAACTGAAGTTAATATTCTGGTACCTATTCACCTAACTGGTGCTTTGGCATTTTGGAGGTCACATTAGCTATGGACAAAACCAGGATTTGGATGAAGTCCGTCCAACTCATTATTCTCTACAAACTCCCAATGTACCTGTTCGTGTATTGAAATTCAATATTAAGTCATTTTCTATAGACTCCTTGTTCATGGAGTGTCCAAGAAAATAAGTTTCAAAGTTTCAAGAATCCAAATAAAAGCTATGTGTTGGCCCCCCACACACAGACACACACAGACACACACACACACACACACACACACACACACACCAGGGAAGAGAGTCTTGAATCCATTCAAAAGGCAATTGATTATCGGTCAGGCAACCATAACTACTGTCTTTGTTGTGTACCCTCTTCTGAGCCCAGCAGATGCCAGCGGACCGATGCAAAACCATGGTCACACAGATGTGCCTGGTTAGCCTTGGTGTGTGTCACAGAACAGACACAAACCCTTGAGAGAAATGTACAGGAGCGGGGGAAGATGAATAGTAGTCATAGGGAGGTGAGAGGCTAGAGTGGTCAGTATGTAAAGCATACATATGTAAAAATACAAAAGTAGTGATAAAAAAGCAATTAAAATTCAAGTCAGATACAGTCAGAGTTCTCCAAATGCAGTACTGGAAGTTACAGCTTTTGGGATGTTGCTTTCAAATCTCTTCCCTAGAATTTATTATTTTTGAGGTAAACTCCTCCAGGAGATAAAGTACCAGATGTGAGAACATGAAAAATGTTAGATACATTTTGTGAATCTTTTTAAGAACATGAAATTGAATGAATATGTATTCATTGTAGACATATTGAGCAGAGATAATAAACACATAGGAAACAAAACAAACTAAAAAGACAATTACTGACCTCGAGAAAAGCAAAGTTGCACATACAGGTCTCATGGACTCTGCTTCCTAAGATCATATTCAAAATCTCAATGATACAAGCAATGAAATTTGACCTAATAAAAGCTACAACATAATTCTACTAATAAGGTGAGAACAAAAAGTTCATGACAGTATATGTGCTGTATGTGCTGGAGGTAGGGGATAAAATGCAGCTCTCACTGAATCAACCCTCGCCTTTAGAGTACCTCAGTGATGTTTCCTTACTATTAGGATAAACACCAATCTTTAACCGGTCTTCAAGATTCCTCGGGGTCATATCTGAACATCATATCTATGATGTGCCCATGATATACAGTCGCAGTGGATTGCTCTCAGTAATTTGAGTCTACATGTCTTCACCATGCGTCCCGAACCCATGATGCTCTCACAGCTTCCAGAACTTTCCTCCAGTACGTAGTGTCAGACTAATCACACCAGCACAGACTGCTGTCACAGTTATTTAATTAATTTCTACTCATTCTTTAGGTGTGTACCCTCAGAACGCCGTGTGCATCATCCTTTATGTCACTAGCAGTGCCTGGAATTGACATTTTATTTGTAAGATTATCTGAATAAAGTCTGTTTCCCTTCTTTTCTGAAGATTTATATTTAGTATTTTTATTTACGTGTAGGGGGTATATGTCTGTACGTACATGTCACATAAATGCAGATGCCCACAATGGCCAGGAGAGGGTGCCGGAGGCCCTGGAGCAGGGTTACAGACAATTGGGAACAGCCTGACTTGGATGCTGGGAAATGAACTCTGTAGGAGTCTGCTGCAAAAGCGGTTAAGTGTGCTTAACTGCTGAGCCATCTCTCCAGCCCCTCTCTTCTTGGCTATAAGTCCAATGTGAGCAGGAAATACATTTATATCCAAGTTAATTGTTTAATCAGTGAATGAATAAATAGCATGCTTACTGAAACAAAACAGAAAAACAAAAAGTAAAGACCTTAGAGAATAGAAAACACTGTCGTATCCAGCAGCGATTCCAGAAAAGGTGGCTGCCTGGTATCACAGGGACTACCTATGCTATAGGTATATAGAATGTGGCGGTGGTGGGGTGTCCTGTAGATCCAATAGAAACAGGCTGTTCTGAAACAGCAGCAAGAAACACCAAAGTGTTTACTATACCAGTACACATACCCCAAATTAACCACATAAAAACAAATTTGTATGAGATAAAGTTGGAATTAAGCTCTTAATGGCACACTTTCAACAGTGTCATTAGAAATACATCCGGTTTTTACCACATTTTAGGTGGCTTGCCCTTAATCCTCTCCTATTTCTAGCCGATCTTTAAAAAAAAAAAAAAAAAAAAAGCATCGTGCTGAGAACAGACTCTGAGGAGGGCGATAAAAACACAAAGCTTACTGAACAAGTAGTCTTCCATTTCCTTCTGAGTGAAAAGCGCCGCCATAATCACAAGACTCCTAGCCCTCCGCAGGCCAATGACACATCTGCTTTTTAATTAAACAGACTGAACATCGCTTTATTAGAATTGGACACTCTCCAATCTTTTAAAGACTTTCTACCATCCAGCAGTTTATCTATTTCAAAAAAAAAAAAGAACTCAAAGACGATGTCTCATTTTTCACTTTTTAAGTAAAAGAGGAGATTCTAGTATGCTGATATATTTATTTTCATTACACATTTTAAAACAGATGCTATTTCCAGGGGGAAAGATGATTTATGGTCTAATTTAACTAACTTTGCATATTTAGCCGCTACTGTGTCTTCTCTTTGTAAATGAGTATCAGAAACAAGGTTATCGATAAGATGGGTAAAACTCCTTACATTCCATAGTGGGTACTGACTGAGAAGGAAGGCTCGGGGCAGGAAAGGATCCATCTGTATATACAAGGGAGGAGCTCGGGCTCCAAGAACAGCATCCTGAACCTGAGCTATTATTGGAGGATGCCCAGGACCAGGAAGCCTTGCGTAGCAGAGTCAGTGCATCCAAAAACCCTTCTGTAGAGGACAGTATCAGCAACATAGTGGACTGCACAGTCCTCAGGTCATGACAGTTATCCCACCTCTGTGGGACTGGATCATCATTGGGTGATGGATTCATCAGTCATCAGTGGATCTGTAGGAAACAACATGTGTCTGAATGGAGAATCTCGGTATCTTACTGAACAAAGCCTGGAGCCCTCTCCAGTAGCCATGCATTTAAGTTCACTAGCCTCACATGACAATTTTAGTTAACAGATGTGTAAATATGGTTTTCATAGCTTTTTGTAATTTTAAGGGCTATAAGAAATACTTTGGGGGCCAGGCCATGGTGGTGCATGCCTTTAATGCCAGCATCTGGGAGGCAGAGACAGGTGGATCTCTGGTCTACAGAGTTCCAGGACAGGGTCTAAAGCTACAGAGAAACCCTGTCCCAAAAAACAAAAAAAAAAAAAAAAAAAATACTTTGGGGGAATGGATCTGAAGGGATGGCTCTGCAGTTAGGAGTGCTTGCTGCTCTTGCAGAGGACTCAAATTCCCATACTGAATAGCATACAACAACCTGGAACTTCAGTTCCAGCCTCCACAGAGATCCACCTGTCTCTGCCTCCCAGCTGCTAACATTAAAGACATGCACCACCACGGCCTGGCCCCCAAAGTATTTCTTATAGCCCTTAAAATTACAAAAAGCTATGAAAACCATATTTACGCATCTGTTAACTAAAATTGTCATGTGAGGCTAGTGAACATAAATACACATGGTACATTTCACACATGTGGAAAGCACTAATACTCATAAAACTATATAAAATCAGAAATATTGAAGAGGATGTGTGTGACCTGGCAGGGTACTGCTAATGACAGTTCTCTGTGGTCCATGTGTCTGTGTCCTGCCTGACCGTTTGCTGTGCTAATGGCAGTTCTCTGTGATTCATGTGTCCGTGTCCTGACTGACCATTTGCTGTGCTAATGGCAGTTTTCTGTGGTTCATGTGTCCGTGTCCTGCCTGACCGTTTGCTGGTCCTAATGTTCAAGTGCGGGACTTTGGCAGCTGCCCACCTCAGCAGCACTAATATGACGTATTGGGAGCTGATCGCAAAAGAGCAACAGAGTAATCATCCCCCACTGCATGTGGTAAACAATGCAGGCATGAGATACCTTAGTCCATGAACACCTTGGCCAATGGTGACGGTGAAATCCATTGCTGGCGACTGCTTATGGGATAATGCTTATACACTGTAAAGATTTGTCACTTGCATTGGTTTAATAAAACACTGACTGGGGGCTGGAGAGATGGCTCAGTGGTTAAGAGCATTGCCTGCTCTTCCAAAGATCCTGAGTTCAATTCCCGGCAACCACATGGTGGCTCACAACCATCTGTAATGAGGTCTGATGCCCTCTTCTGGCCTGCAGACATACACACAGACAGAATATTGTATCTACAATGAATAAATAAATAAATATTTTAAAAATAAATAAATAAAACACTGAAAGGTGCCAATATATATACAAAATGGTAAGTAGTGGTCAGAAAATCACTTCTGTTAGTTGCTATTTGTACTAGACTTCTATGTTTTGGCTTTTGTTTGTTTGTTTGTGTGTTTTATAAGTCAAGGTTTCTCTTTGTATCCCTGACTGTCCTAGAACTCACTCTGTAGATCAGGTTGACCTCAAACTCAGAGATCTGCCTGCCCCTGCCTCCTAAGTGCTGGGATTAAAAATGTGTGACATGCCGGGCGGTGGTGGCACATGCCTTTAATCCCAGCACTCGGGAGGCAGAGGCAGGAGGATCTCTGAGAGTTCGATGCCAGCCTGGTCTACAAGAGCTAGTTCCAGGATGGGCACCAAAG